AGAATCACAAATGGCTGAAAAACATTTAAAGAAATGCTCAACATCCTTAATCATCAGAGAAATGCAAATCAAAACGACTCTGAGATACCACCTTACACCTGTCAGAATGGCTAAGATCAAAAATACTAATGACAGTCTATGTTGGAGAGGATGTGGAGCAAAGGGAATACTCCTCCACTGTTGATGGGAATGCAAACTTGTACAACCACTGTGGAAATCAGTATGGCAGTTTCTCAGAAAATTGGGAATTGATCTACCTCAAGACCCAGCCATACCACTCTTGGGCATATATCCAAGGAATGCTCAATCATACCACAAAGATACATGCTCAACTATGTTCATAGCAGTACTATTCATAATAACCAGAACCTGGAAACAACCTAGACGCCTGTCAACTGAAGAATGGATTAAGAAAAAGTGTACATATACACAATGGAGTACTACTCAGCAGAGAAAAACAATGACAGCATGAAATTTGCAGACAAATGGATGGAACTAGAAAATATCATCCTGAATGAGGTAACCCAGACTCAGAAGGACAAACATGGTATGTACTCACTCATAAGTGGATACTAGATATAAAGCAAAGAGCAATCAGACTGCAACCCACAGAACCAGGGAGTCTATATAGCAGGGGGGACCCTAGGCTTATAATAAGTCTTGGGTTTACTCAATTATTGGGCAAGCCTCAATGAAACATTTCACTATTAGGATAAGAATTTATACTGTATCAAGCTGATAATAGAAAAAAATAGAATATTCCTGAGGCTAAAGTAAAAAGTCATGGCCTAATTTCTTTGGCAGAGGAGATTTAAAGACAGTGTACCATTATGGAAACATAATGGAGAAATACTGGACCAAAGCAAGTCTGAAAGTCAGGAGAGATACTCCAAATCTTCTATTTTCATGTCTGATGTCAAAGGGCTTAGATAACTCGCCCCTTCCAGTTTTTCTGTGGCAACTTAATTCTTTTTCATAGAAAGTTTCTACTGCCTACATTCAGCTATTTTAGGCAGATGTTTCATGCCTTTGGCACCTCTAATATTTTGAGATATTTGACACACTTTGGGTTTCACTTTCACAGCTTCCAGAATGACCTCTCTGGGCCTTTTGTCCACTCAGGGACTACATGCATGGACTTCTCTGTAACACTTTGGCCTCAGTGGTTCTCCTTAACAGTGTAGGAAGGATCTAGAACACATTTGTTCCTTTATCCTTCATAACACTAAAATCAAAAGTTCATGAATGATACTACTAAATTTGGCTGCCCACTTAAGAGCCTGATACTACTGAATAACTATTGAAGCATCTTCTCTTCTTGTTGCTTTTTAGGTGCAGAAAACTCCTTAGGCCTTTTCTTTTCCCAAATTGGAAGCTTATCTGAGTGAGGTCTGGTGTGAGGGCATCCTTCTTTTTATTTCAGTGCAGATTTGACCTTTACTTAATCTTAACTAGTGACTCACTCCATTATTAGTGGTGCCAACCCTGGGCTGGTGGTCCTGGGTTCTATAAGATAGCAGCAGCAAAGCCATTAAGCAGCCCCCCTCCATAGCCTCTGCATCAGCTCCTGCCTCCAGGTTCTTGCCCTGTTTGAGTTCTTCTCCTGACTTTCGTTAATGATGAACAGTGATATGGAAGTGTAAGCCATATAAACTCTTTTATCCCCAGCCTGCTTTTTTGGTCATGGTATTTCATCTCAGCAATAGAATCTGTAACTAAGACAAACATCAAAAACATTTGTGGAGTTCCAGGTGAATCTTTAACAATGATTTTTTCTGGTAACACCTTTAACATTATCGGTTGATGTCATTTTCATTTTAGGAGTAAAAATTCAATAGAATTAATTTATTGACTAGAATTTACAGAAGAATGCTGTCCTGTTTCAAAACAGCAAAGCACATGTTTCTCTGGGGATATGATGTTTGTTAATTAGTTGGTTTGGGAAACTATTCCTAGGATGATTCACAGTCACTGAGCATAAATTAATTACATGATATGAAAACTATTACCAAGTTGGAAAATCCTTAGGAAATAGTTAAAACCAACACATTTCTTTTGTCTTCTTATATACTGAAACTGAGGTGTGAGGAGATGAAATTTCTTTTCCCAGATAATAGAAAGAATTGTTGGAAAGAATTAACACAGGATGTCCCATTAGTTGGGTCTTTCCCTTCTTACTAATTAATTAATTAATTTATTTTTAGTTAAATCACACCAATGGTCCTAATCTTGCTGCTTATAGTTAATGATAACAGGTGCTGTCAGTGTGTTTTCCTGTCAGTGCTCTCTAATAGAAATGTTGTGGGTTATTGCTTTTCTTTATGGGCCTTTGTTTCCCCATTTGTAAAACTAAGAGGGTGGAAGAGGGAAGAAACCACATGATTTCTCTGCTTAGTTCCTTTTCTACTCTTTGAATCTATGAAGACTAATGTTGCAATTATGTGGGCAGGAGTCTCAGATGGCAAACACTTTTCAAGTCTTCCTGTTTCCTCCCCTGCTTTAGTTGTGAGGATGTTCGGAATTAAACTGCATGTCAAGTTGCAGTAAGTGTTTCCACCCAAGTTAGCACAGCAGTATCCCACATCACTCCCCACAGTCACTTGCAACTTTAGGATTTATTTTTAATTCTCTTCCTGTGTGTCTGTGTGTGCATGGGTATGTGCACTTGTGAGCACAGTTTTCGTGGAGGCCAGAGAGGGCATTGGATTCCTTAGAACTGGAATGATAGATGTTTAAGAGCCACCTGACATGGGTGCTGGGCACTGAACATGGGACGTCTATATGGCAGGCAGGTTGTCTTAGCGGCTTTGATACCTCTCCAGCATACTAATAGCCCTGCTGGCGGCCTGTGCAGTAGCCGCAGATGCCCTTCTTTTGCTGTCATATGTTTTAATTGGTTACATCCCTGAAATTTAGGGAAGTGAAATGACCCACATTTCATATCGGCAAAAATGACTTTCAAGTGCAGAGCTCTCTGTCTTTTAAACCATATTCCTCTCTCTTATCTTACATACCTCCTTATCTTTTCTTTTCATTCTTATTGGAAGGATGCCATGTCTCTGCATTTATTCAGTATAAAAATTTCCAGATAATTTTTGTATGTTTGTGCATATGAATGATTTGTTTGTCAGGCTTCTCCAGAGGAACAGAACTGACCGAATATGTATATGGGACTTATTAGAATGGCTTACAGGGTGTGGTCCAGATAGTCCAACAATGGCTGTCTAACAATAGAAACTCCAAGAATACAGTAAATGTTTAGTTCACAAGGCTGTACTATCAGCTGTTTTTCAGTAAATGCCTAAATCCTGAAGAAGTAGTCTCTAATGCCAGTGAATGGACTTTGCAGCAAGAGTGAGGCCAGGCAGATAAAGAGCAAAAGCTGTCTTCTTCCATGTCCCTTATATAGGCTGCCACCAGAAAGTGTGGCCTAGATTAAGGATTGATCTTCCCACATCAAAAGATCTGGATTAAAGGGTGGGTTTTCTCTACTTCAAATGATTTAATCAAGAAAAATTCCTCACATATGTACTCAGCTGCTTGGATTTTTATTTAGTTTCAAATGTAGTCAAGTTGACAATCAAGAATAGTCATCATACATGTTTGTGCATATGCATGTGTGTTTGCACACATTTGGGAGCTAGGGGACAACCTTGGCTGTGATTTCTTAGATGTTGTTCATCTTTTTTCTCTGGAGATTAAAAGAATGTGTGCATTTATATTTGGGGGAGGTGGCATCTGTGCATATGAGTGCACATGCCTGTGGAAATCAGAAGAGAGCATTGGATCCTCCAAATCTGGAATCACAGGTGATTGTGAACACCTAATGTGGATTACAGGAACTGAACTTGGGTGTTGCATAAGAGCAATATACTGTCTTAACTACTGAGCTATTTTTCCAACAGCTTTTTGTTTCTTTGAAAAACTCTCATTGGCCAAGTGTTCTCTGAATAGACTGTGCTGTCTGGTCAACAAGACCAAGGGGTCCTCCTTTCTCTGTACCCCTCATCCAGCAATGGAATTACAAGCTGGTGTCACCATGCCCAACATTTTTTAAAATGTAACTTCAGGGTTTAATTTTCATGTCATTATGTTTACACAGCACAGTTTCATCTTTGATAATGATGTGTTGCTTTACAAATACTTATTATCTATAGCTGTTGTTTTCAACCTGATATTTAATGGTTCTTTAATAAATTACCTCTGGTATTGTGTCTGTACTGAACTTAAATAGGCATTTTGTCTGTGTCAAAATTTCCTACACAATGCAGTATAACAATTGTTTATATAGTATTTCTCTTTTATTAGCTATCAAAAGCAACATTGGGATGTTCTAAAGTATAGAGTGGGTATATATAATATACAAATGCTATGTTATTTTCTGTGAGAAAATTGAGCACCTTAAGACTTTGATATGCTTTAAAACATCTTTGAACAGTCTCCCCAGGGATCAGGAGGAAGATTGTATAGGTCAATTTTTAATTAATAACATACATTAAATACATAGTATAAAGCCTGTGGAATAAAGACTTAAACATAGCCCCTAAGATTATTTGCCCCCATATTAACTGGAGATCGAGCCCTATAAGGAACATAATTCTTTTTTTCATTGTTGTTCTTCTTGGTTTTTTTGTTTTTGTTTTTTTTATTGTTGTTGTTTTGTTTTTTTTTTGTTGTTTTGTTTTGTTTTGAGACAGGGTTTCTATGTGTTGTTTTGGTGCCTGTCCTGGATCTCACTCTGTAGACTAGGCTGGCCTTGAACTCATAGAGATCCGCCTGGCTCTGCCTCCCAAGTGCTGGGATTAAAAGCTCATGCCACCACCACCCGGCAAGGAACATAATTCTTTGGTCTTTCTTTAATCAACAGAATGCCTTAATCCCATTGCATATATAGAACACTCCAGTGGACACTCCATTGTACCTTGATCGACCCACTGTTTACATACTCTTATTAGGGTTTTCATTCTAACTTCCCTTGCTTTGCATTGTTGTCTGTGCAGAGGACAAGATCTGGACGATGGTTCAGCACAACAACACAGAGCTGACTCGGGTACAGGGCTCCAACCCTGAGAAGCCCTATGCCATGACCTTAAACTATGGGGGCAGTATGGAGCAGCTGGAGGCTCTGATTGATGGATCAGAGTACTGTGAACAGGAGGTGGCATATCACTGCAGGAGATCTCGCCTGCTTAACACACCAGGTAAGGTTCTGCCCTTTTTCATGATACCTTGAAACCCACAAGCCAAAGTTCTGACTGTGTTTTTTTCTGACACAAGCTAGAGTCACTGAAAAAGTGGGAACCTCAATTTAAGAAAAATATGTCTTCAAATGATAATTTTCTTAGTGACTGATGTGGGAAGGCCAAGACAATTATGGGTGGTACTACCTCTGGGTAGGTAGTCCTGGGGTATATAAGAAAAACAATAAATAAAACTGAACCTGAGAAAGCCAGGGGGAGCAGGCCAATAAGCAGTGTTCCTCCATGGCCTGTACTTCAGTTCCTGCTTCCAGGTTTCTGCCTTGACTTCTCTGAGTGATGGAGTGTCACTAGAGAATTGTAAGTTTTCCTTCCCAAGTTTCTTTTGGTCATGGTGTTGTATGAGATCAATAGAAACACTAACTAAGATATCCAAAGAGTGGGGTATTTGACAAGAAAGTGGCTGCAGTACACTTGTTCACTCTCCTTTGAGGAGAGATATGACCCAAAGAAGGCCATGAATCCTGGCTTTGGCCTTGAGGGAGGTCTGTTGAGTCTATACTTGTCTCTGCATCTTCAGAATGACATATTGATAATACCCACCCTCAACAGCTGGGAAATGAAGAGGTTTTGTGAGGGATGGCATTTGAAGCAGAGCATTTGAGCTAGATATGGAAAGTGTGGTAGTTGAACACTGTTGGAGAGGAAGATCGCATTAGAAGGTGTCAAGTATCCCATTTCATACACAGAGTTATGAATTATGTCTAAAATGAAGGATATCTAAGGAGCAAGCACCAGGCAATGAGGCCAGCAAGACAGGCAGAGGCTAATCTGTGTCCCCAGAATTTCTGTTGTCTGAAGAGAGACTTCAATGAATATGAATCTAAATGTAAATTTTCATTTTTCATGAATTAATCAGCTATTAAGATGGGAGGTTCTAATGTAGCATTCATTTGCCTTTAACTCACTATGTAGTTGAGAATGACTTTAAATTTTTGGCCATCCTGCTTCCACCTCTGGAGTGCCATGAGTACAGGAGTATGCCACCATGCTTGTTTTTTTCTGTGGTGCTGGCCATCAAAGTCAGGGCTACTGTGCATGTTTGAAAAGTACTCTACCAAGGAAAGTAGCCTTAGCCCTGACATTTCATTTTGGAAAAAAAGTGGCTAACTCCTTTTATGTTCCCCCAGTTCTGTTTTTTTAATGGTGAATGAATGATTTGGTTATCATGTGTGAATTAGTTACCCTCTTGCTGTTGTGATGTAGCACCTAACAAAGCATCCAGAAGAGGAATTGCCTTTGGTTCATGGTTTGAAGCCCATCGTGCCAGGGAAGGCATGGTGGCACAAGCAGGATGGTCTGAGGCAACAGGGGTATGGGACAATTGCCTGCTCATCCACTGGAGGACCAGGAAGCAGAGAGGGTAATGGTAACATTCAGCCAGGCTTTCCATTTTCCTTTCATAAATGATTTTTTTGACACATTAGAGTCTTATGTCCTCCTGCTGGCCTGGAACTCCATATATACAGAACAGACTAGCCTTGAACTCATAGAGATCTACATACCTCTTCTTCTTGAGGGTTGAGATGCAATGTATGGGCCACTAAGCCCATATGGAGTCATTCATTTCTGCAAGTATTAACCCATCCTAAAGACCACGGGGGTATCAAGTATCCAAGAAATAGTATCACATTCTATCACAAAGTTTAGTATCTGGTGCTTAGCGTTTGTAGGTGAAGAGTGGCTTGGGAACAATAGAGACAAAAATGTCAGTAAATCATGAATGAGAGACACCTGACTCAATACACTGCATTGCTTGACTAATATAGAATCTTTAGGGGAAGATACCATTCCACCTAAGTGAATTTTCCAGATAACTGTCACTTATCCCTTTAAACACTGAAAATATTTTCAGAGAAATTTTAACTATTTGAAATAGAAATCTTTCTCCAATGGATTACATGCCTCCTTGCCTTTTTAAACACAGAATTCATAACAGAAAATGGGACCCTTTTTTGATGACTCAGGAGCATCACTGTGAAATCAATTTCGGAACTCCTGTTGGACTCAGCCATGCTTGTTAGGCTGATGAAATCAGTGTTGCCGCTCTGTTTTCCTTTCCTGTCATCCCAGTACCTACACACTGTCCCACATGATTCACTATCTGTTTCCTTGAGCATTTTTCTGTCCCCTGATGATTAAGCTGAGCTCATGTGCCACCCTAAGCTCTTCTCGGGATGTCTGGCTCTACGGACTGCCCTCCTTTCTTTTCACTGCCTTGTTGTCATTTTCCAGTGTATGAGTTCCTATGAAAAATAGAAGCATGTCCATTAAGACTTTGGGACTTTCCTAAAGGACTCACACTCTCGTGTCACTTAGGTTATGCCATTAATTTATGTGTGCATGCATGCTTGTGTCCATGCATGCATTTGTGCATGTGTGTATGTGTGTGTGTGTGCATTCATGTGCACACATGCCCTTGGAGGTTAGATGTATTGGACCACCTATCACTTAAATCACAGGCTTCTGTGAGCCACTGGACCTGGGTGTTTGGGAATAGCACTCAGGTCCTCTAGCATAGAGGCACTTGTAGCTGCTGAGACATTTGTGTGTCCAGTCGCTGTCGTTCCTTTGTGTCCAAGCATTGTCTTCCTAACTTGATTGTATTAAGTTCTTTGAGTTTAGGTTTGCATAGGAAGAGTAGAGATTTGGGGGAGATCAGAGTGGGAGTGATATCTCAATCCAGTGCTTACCTACCTTGTGCCAGCTTGCAGTTTCTGCAGTTTAACTTCACAACCATTCCATTGACACAAAGATTTAAAATTCATAAGGCTAGGAGGAAGGGAGAAAGACAAACACAGTCTGAAATCTTTAGACTGTACCCTGTATAGCTCAGGCATCCAGTAACCAGTGTCTCTCCTCACAGCTTCCATCTCAAGAGACCTGGAACAAAGTTGATGCTATCACAAGGAATAAGCTGGAAGAGAATTTCTGTTTTATTATTCATTCTTTGCAAAATATATACAATAAGTTTTTCTCATGTCCATCTCCTCTTCTCCAGGACCCCCAGATGCACATTCAGTACCTATCCAACTTTGTTTCCTTTTTTTAGTGTCCATCAAGTCCAATCTGTGCTACCCATTTATTCATGGAGGTGGTAACTTCCACTGGAAAATGGGTGACCTATCAGGGGTTACACCTTATAAGAAAACTGACTCTTTCTCCAGCAGCTATCAGTTGCCAACAGCCCCTCAGCCAGGGGCAGAAATTCATGTCCACCTCTCTTCTTCATGCTGGGACTTTCGTTTGGCTTTAGCTTGTACAGGTCTTGCTCATGATGTCATAACCTCAGACTGCATATGTTCAGCTGTCCTATTGTGTCCAGAACATACTGTTTTCTTTTATTCACTCACTATATTTAAGTCTTACAGTCTTTACACCTCCTCTTCTACAATAGGAACCCCTGAACCTTGGGAGGAGGGGCTGCAGTATAGATGTTCTATTTAAGGCCAAGCATTACTCAGGCATTTATTCTATGAACCTTGGCTAGTTGTGGGTCTCCATGTTAATCATTATCTCCTGAAGATAGAAGATTTTCTGATGAAGTTGAGAGATGCATTAGCCTATTGGAATAACAAGAATTCATCAGGAGTCGGTTCAATACTATGTTCATATAGCAGAATAACAAAAAGTAATAGGCTCTCTCCTAGGACCTATTACTGCCTAGCCACAGGTTCTTGCCCCAACAATGGTCCCAGGTATAGATTTGATCCTGTGGAGAGAGACTTAAATCCATGAGAATGTGGTTGGTTCCTTGCGTGGTGTTCTTCCCACTATAGTAGCAGTGGACCTGTCTCACCAGACTGCTGTTATTACATATTGCAGGGTGCACAGAAGGTGAGAAGGAGGATACTGTTCTTCTCCAACAGGGTCTTCCCATCAGTTTCAGGAGGATATCCAGTAGGACTGGCACTAGCCCGTGACATTTGTGTATCTATAGAACCGCACTGCCAACAACTCCAAAAGAAGAAAATATTTCTGGAAGTGGGCTTATCTGTAAGTTTATAGTGTATAATAGGAGCATCATTGTCCCATTATAGCATTATAGTATCTCTCTCTCTCTCCCCACATACGTGTGTGTGTGTGTGTGTGTGTGTGTGTGTGTGTGTGTGTGTGTACATGATTCTACTCTTTACAGTAGTGGGTAAAGGTAGGTTTCCTTCATTATCTAAATGCAAGGTAGATTAAGAACAGATTCCCAGCCTTGTCATAGACTTATTTCTCCTATACTGTCACATTCCTAAAGAGAGGAACAAATAAGGTTGCTGAGCCCCCTTAGCAGGTACCATACTTTACTGCCAAGCCTGAAAATCTGAATTCAATTTCTAGGATAAACATGGTAGAAGGAAAGAATAAATGCCCATAAGTCATTCTCTGGTCTTCACAGAAATTCTATAGGCCTCCTATGTGCACATGTGTTCACACACATATACACACACATGCTAAGTAGACACATAAATGTAGCAATACATTTATGAACCAACATAATCATGCCAATAATTGATTTTTACCAATAATAGTATATCCTCTTATATAGGTGTTTCAAATGAGTAGTCTCTTTTTGGCATGTACATGCAGATATGCTGTAGATAGGGCTATAAGAACATTTTTGCATGTAGATCTCTGTGAACATAACTCAGGATAAATTCCTTGAAGCATCATTGCCAGAAAAGAAAGTGTGTATATTTTCAAAAATTTTTGCCACCTTGACTTCTGCTTAGTATCAAGGTGGAGACGATTTACACCCCAACAACACAAAGGAACTATATGCCCATTTCCAAGACATGGATATTAACTTTGATTTCTCATTTCAAGTATTGGTAATCTTATGAATGTAAAATGCCACCAAAGAAAACTTTAAATAAGTTTTGTAGGTAGTAGCAATTATATATACACATATGAAAGATAAGGGGGGGGAGAAAGAAGAGAGAATACCATAGCTT